GAGACATGGTCCCTGACTCTGGGAGCTCCCAGTCTGATGGAGGAGACATGTTCCCTGACTCTGGGAGCTTCCAGTTTGATGGAGGAGACATGTTCCCTGACTCTGGGAGCTCCCCGTCTGATGGAGGAGACATGGTCCCTGACTCTGGGAGCCTCCAGTCTGATGGAGGAGCCATGGTCTCTGACTCTGGGAACTCCCAGTCTGATGGAGGAGACATGGTCTCTGACTCTGGAAGCTCCCAGTCTGATGGAGGAGACATGGCCCTCTATTCTGGGAGCTCCCAGTCTGATGGAGGAGACATTTTTCCTGACTTCTGGGAGCTCCCAGGCTGACTGAGAGACACGGTCTCCAGCATCTGGGAACTTCTGATGGAGGAGACATAATTTTCAAACCTAGAAGCCTCCATTCTAATGGAGATCATCTTTATTTCAGTTTGAGTGAGAAACTCCACCATCTGATGGTAGAAATTTTGTCCTCACTCTCACTGTAGCAGAAAGGAAGAGACATAATTCCCGTTGTCTAGAATCTCCCAGTCTGACTCAGGAGACAGGACTCACTTTTACTCTATACCTTCAGTCTGATAAGGGAGGTAAACTCCCATCATTAACCTGTTTCCCCACATGATGGAAGAGGCAAAATCCCCTGTCTTGTTTTTTGGCAGCTGGCTGGTAAGGGGCAAAATCTCGTATGTTCTAGGATGTGCAGGAAAAAAGGATGCCTCACGCTCAGACTATACCTCCTCTTTTAAAACCTTCTTATACAAGATAAAAACTCTTATATGAGACAGAGTCATGGAAACTCCCTTTAGGAGCCTTCAGTGTGATGGAGAAGGTCTATCTACTCCTGGTCTAGGTCATCAGTTTGATAGTAGAGGCAAGAGCCCCAAGTCAGATGGAGGAGACAAGATTCCTTCCTTTAGTCTGATGGGGGTAGGCATATCCATCTTTGGTCTATGTCCCCTAGCCTACAGAGGAGGCAAAGGCTCCTTTCTGGAGCCCCTGTCTGAAAAGCAGCACCCCCCGTCCCCTCTCGCACACTCACGTGCCACCTGCAGCTCCACTTCCAGGGTCTCAGTCTTGCCCTGCAGAGTGACTGTCTTGAGCGTGTAGCGGCCAGCGTCTGTGAGGTTCAGCTTCTGCACCAGCAGCGAGCAGTTGGCGAAGCCCACCTCCCGGCCTGTGTGCGCGGGGCCTGCGATCCAGTTCCCGGACGGC